AACCCAGAATGTCAGGGCTGGGAGGGCCCCGAGAACACAGAATGTCACTTCATAGAGACCACCAGTCCACCTCTCTCATCTCCACTTCCTTCTGACATTCAACCTTCTTCCCTTATTACTTGGTTGCCCACATATTCTGCTCTGACTGATCAGGGGTATGGCCCTCCTGCTCTTTCAGTGTCTGTCACCAAATAGGGAGTCTGTGTAAAACACCCTTAAAATAACCTGGCACTGCACGAACTCTCACAGGGTATCCATGCCTGCTAGCTGAATGCCAGGGGCAGCAGGGGGCACTCCCAGCTCCAGTGAGTCACGTTGTCATAGTGGCTTGGAGTGGTATTTACAGTGTTTTAACCTGCAGCAAAAGTCAAGAGTTAAAGGGGGCACTGGGGACTCTTTGGCCCCCTCCTCCATATCCTCCTTCCACCTGCCAGGACAGGTAACTCACCTAGAACTCGGGTCTATAATAGTCAGTACCATGATTAGGCTGAGCTAAGATACAACGTCTGGACTTGAAACTTATTATCAACCAGATAATAACTGGTTAGGACAGCTCTCTCCTGAGCAGAAGGGAAGGGCCTCACGGTTCTAAGTGATCATTACACAGCAAGAGAGGCCCTGAAAGCCTGACATTAGGAACCGGTTCCTTTATGTTCAGTTTCCCTTCTTGTTCTGGGGAGCTGTGAGTGAAGTTTCTCAGAATCCTGGAGGGGAGACTTGGAGATGAGGTCCTTGGCATCTTGCGTGGGTGTGTCTGTGCTAGTGAAGATGACGGGTCCCAACTTGCTGCTTGGTCAGCTGCCAAGTACTGGGGCCCGCTTGAAAATCAGAAGTCTGGAGGCAAGGGGGAGAGAAGCAGATTCCAGGGGAGTTCCACTGACCATGCCCAATGAAGGAGCCATTCCCCGAGGGCCCGCATCAATAACCCCACCATTGGAACTACTTTGGTCGAATATTACAACCCAACCAACATTTATTAAGCACCCACAGTGTGCAGAGCCCAATGCTCAGTTCTGGAGGGAGATAAAGGTTTTGATCAAATGCCAGGTGCTGTATTTGGCAAGAAGGATGAACACACAAAAAACAGTCTCTGCCCTCAAGGAGTTTACAGTAAGTGATAAAAACAACAACAACTTAAACGCATAGTAAATACAAAGTAATTGCGTACTTGCAATTGAGGGAATCATGAAAGACCTTCTGCAGGAAAAGGTTCTTAAGCTCGGCCTCAAAGGAAAGCAGGAATTCTAAGAGGTGACGGTTAGGGTGTGCATCCCCAGTATGAAGAATGGCCAGTGCAAAGGTTAGCAAAGCCAGCTTGACTAGGTCAAGCGCATGAAGGACAAGCCAGTTAAGTCTGAGAAGTAGGCTGATTTTCCCCCACCCCACCACTGGAGGTTATCCCTCTTCATCCTCTGAATTGTTTGTACCTCTCCCACGCTTTTCTCATAGTTTACCTGGCATTGTGGTTATTTTGTGTACTTGCTTTATTCCCTTTACAAGACTGCAAGCTCCTTAGGGGCAGATTTGGGGAGAATTCTTTAAGATCCTGCACAGCGCCTTGAAGGGAACAGGCATTTAGTAAATCTTTACTGAATGAATAAATTAAACAATTTCCCAAAGAAAGGACAGTTGGGAAGAATCTGAGACTCAGGATCTCTACTCAACTGAGGAGCTAAATGAGCTCAGGGGTTCTCAGGGGTTACTGAGCTAAGAACGAGGAGAGACAAAGGGGTCTGGGAAAACCAAGGGGAGAGTTTGGCTAACTCAATCTTAGAGAGCATTAACAGAGGCATTAATAGTGTGCAGAACAAGGAAGGGCACAGTTTGATCATCCTGCCTTGGTTGGGCTCCATCTGGGGTATTGGGTTCAGTTCTAGGCATCCAGTGGATACAACCTGAATGGCGATGGGCCTTGTGTCTGTGCCACATAAGGCCAGATTAAAAGAAATGGGAACCTTTAGCTTGGAGAAGACAGCATTTGAAGGTGTATTAGTTGAGAGAGTATGGAATAGACCTGGAATCATAGCGATAGCTACATGGGATCTCAGAAGTCACTTTGTTTTCCCAAGGAAACTGAGGTCCAGGGAGGTTGTGACTTGAGGAGGATCACACAAGGAATAAATGTCAGAAGGAGAATATGGACTTGGGTCGTCTGCCTCCAAAGATAGTGCTCTTTCCTACTGTACAACATTCTCCTCAGTCCTGGGCCAGAACCAGAATAAATAAGGGAAGCTTCAGAACTAGGCTAGAAGGAAATACATCATAATGATTCCAAAAGTGGCAAGGCTGCCTAAGGTAGTGAACCCTTCATCACTAACACAAAGGATTGGGAAGATCATAGACAATTCCTTTGTTGTTCTTCAGTCGTGTCTGACTCTTCGGGACCCCATTTAGGGTTTTCTTGGCAAAGATCCTGGAGCGGTTTGCCCTTTCCTTCTCTAGCTCATTTTAGAGATGAGGAAACTAAGGCAAATGGGGTTAAGTGACGTGTCCAGGGTCACACACCTAGTAAATGTTTGAGGCCAAATTTGAACTCAGGAAAATGAGTCTTCCCAACTCTAGGCCCGGCACTTTTATCCACTACTCTACTTAACTTCCCTTGAGAAAATTCCTACCCGGGATTAAATTGAACTAAGGTCTTTTCTCATTCCTGGATTTTGCAAAATAAGTTTTGGGCTAAATCCATTATTCAGAACTTAAGTTAACCAGTGAGAATTTATATAGACAGAAAGGGGTGACTCTTGCATCAGCAGAACTAGGGTAGGCCATGTGGAAAAGACCTGCAGATCTTAGTGGCTGTAAACATGAGTCCACAGAATAACATGGCAGCCTTTCGGCTATTCTAAAATACTTTGATCTTAGTATTTGTGTAGCATCCAAAATATGATAGACCCACCATACTCTGCTCAATTGGTACTGTCTAGTTCCGCTTCCACTTTAACAAGTCATTGACAAACTAGAGTGAATCTATAAGCAGGCAATGGTGGTGGGGAGGGGACTGGAGGCTCTGCCTAAAGGGGATGTCTAGCTTGTCGAAGGCTTAAGTGATCGATGTCTTCCAACATCTGAAAGGCTATTTTGAGGAAGATGGAACAGACTCTGTACTTTGCCCCAGAGGGCAGACCCAGTACCAATAGGGGGAAATTACAGAAAGGCAGATTTTGGCTTAATAGACCACATGTCAAGAATGCTCTAGAGGAAGTTTCTGTATTGAGTTTCCAGCTGTAATATCATATAAACTTGGAAGATATCACTTATGGCAGCTTAATTACCCTCCCCAGGAGGAGAAAGATTCAGAACAGTTTATTTTATGGAATGAGTTGTGGCTATTGAGTTGAGACTGGATGAAGACCCCCTGCCAGGGATGCTAAAGAATTGTGGCAATGGGTGGAAGACTGAACTAGTTGACTTTTGAGGTCACTTTCTAATTCTTAGTAACATGATTCTAAGATCTGGAATAAGCAAGCCCCCTATTCTGTCACTTAAAACGTTACAAGTGCTAAGACATGGAAGATGACATGGGCACAGCTTGGCTGAAGATATAAGAAGCAAGTAATACTCTATAGGTTAACACTGCATTTATTCCAATCACCATTCAGGATGGATTCAACCAAGTCATCATTGAGAAAATATGCATATATAAAACCTCATTAACCTATGCTTCTTCTTGCTCATGACACTGGATATGATTTGTTTTTTTTTCATCTTCACCTTTTAAAAGGGAGTGTTGTCTCTCAGATAAAACCTTCTGGTTACCTGTAACATCCCTCCCACCCACTCCCACCCCAAAAAATCTGGCTCTGTTTTTCAAGATAAATTACTGAGATAAAATATACAATCTCTTATTTCTAAAGGAAATAGTTTCTTATTTCTAAGGAAGTGTGGAAAAACTCAATAGGAATGTTTTTTCAATGCATCCCTATACAGCTTCAGTTTGAGGTTTTCCCAGAATAGGAAATAGTGACTGTAAGAGACCCAGGATAGCAAATACAAACAGTACAGATTCCCCTGCCACACACTTTAAAAGGTGCATCCAAAGGACTCAAGCCTGCTCATATTTCAGATGTCTCCAAAGATCCTCCACGCATATTTCAGAGAATCACTTCAAAGTGAAATCCTGGCTGCAATCTCGATACATGAAATATCTCCGCAGAAGTGGAAAGGAGGGGAAAGGAAGGTGAGAATTTTTTCCCCCCAGAAAATGAAATGAATGTGCAAGATGATGTTAGAATTTCAAACCAGTGAAATAGAAAGACATAAATCTTTTATTTCTACCCCCAGAATCTGGAAGTTTAAAAAGTTTTGTGAAGTAACAAGTGTTTCTGTATACTAGATTAACTTCTGAAAGGGACACATGTGTCAGAGAACCAGGAGATAGGAGGTTTGCCAGTGGGACAGCTCTGGTGCCACAAAGAAAGCATACAGTGCAATACCCAAAGCCACCGTCTTTCCTGAGGAGGGAGAGTGAAAATATGCTCCATGGCAGCCTGAGAATGAAGAAATCACATGCTCATCTGCTGAGCATGTAGAAAAGAATTATTAATTTTCAGCTTATGGTTGTTTTATTTTTATTTCAATCACACAAACTAAAGTGGTTTCCCCAAAACAAACACTGGGAGAAGGGAAAACAACTCCAATAATTATTCTGTGAAACAAGTTCCAACCTCTATTTTTAGTTTAAAAAAAAAAAAAAAGAAGAAGAAGCAGCAAGGTTGGGGAACAGACTTAAAGGAAACACCTCCCTGACAGTTTCAGGGCCTGTAACTTTGAAGGAAAAAACCTGCCATGTGTCAGAAATGCCCAAATCTTAAAGCAAACATCACCAGACAGGTGGCAGCACAAGAAAATCTCTCTGGAAATGCCCGAAACACCCTTCAAACAGGAACTAAGACCACCATGTTCAGCTATGCTTAAAAAAAAAAAAAAAGAGTTCAGAATCTTCCAAATGAAATAACATTGGACTTTTCTAAGGAATCAAGTCCCAGGAACCAAGGATGTCAAAAAACTGAAAAGCCCCCTCATATTTCTAACTCTAGAATGGTGGCTAAACAAGTGAGGTGATGACTACTCTAACTTTACCTAAAGAAGAGGATTTCAAAGGATTACAAAAGACACAATTCATGGGATTCTTTCCTAACACCTGCCCAGCCCCCAACTTTCTTTTTTTTAAAAACAGATTAATCAACTGAAAATTAGAAATAGGACACCACATCACAAGGCCAAGTACAAGGCAGCAGCAAACGGGTCTTCCAGTCAAAGTCTCTGGCAAGGCCTGGCCACGGCCACACCTTCACTGCTTCCCAGCCTGCCGGCCCGGCTTTTTCTCCTGCTGTCCTCTTCCGCTGCCAGGAATCCCCCCTCGGCCTCGACCTCCAAACACACCTGTGGGAGCACAAAGATCCTAAGAACCAAAGTCAGCTGGCAGTTTCTCTTCGTACTGTTCTGTAGCTGGCTGTGTTTTCCCGGAACACAAGGTACTCAGCACCCCTGGGTACACAGCTACATTCAAGCCCACATGCAGAAAAGGCTGCTGCCAAGGCAGCCGGACAGATTCAGCCCACATTCCTGCTGGGAAGTCTTGACCTGTTCAGGCACATTCACCTTGGTCGGATTATTTTAGCTGCCCCGTGAGAAGCAGAGGAAGAAGAGTCTGCTTGTTAATCACAAAAGGGCTGGAGGAAGCAGCTCTCACAGAATGTCACAATTAGACCTCTACTGATTGCCGACTGGAAACTCAATTTGGTCCGAGTTTCGTGGACTTCTTATTGCCCTCATCCCCACAAATCAGAAAAAGACTCCAGCAACTCACAAAGTCATGTTTTCTGAAAGTGATGGAATACTGAACATGGGATATTATGCACAACAGGCATTTAATCTATAGCTGGTGAATGAATGACAACTGGATTTCTCTTTTTCGAATGCCTATAGTAGAGCAGTGTGTCCAGAGAGTTCATGGTCCATGATTACTGTCTGATGGGGTGGCCATGGGAGAGCTCGGTACGAGACTGAATGCTGGAGCTCAACACCCCAGAAGCTTAAGAGTTTCAAAGGATGGTTGTTCCACCCTTCTGGGGCAGACCCTCCTAGCTAGCAGACTGGGTAAGCAGGAAAGGTGAGACTAGCTTAGCCTTTGTCCAGGCATTTAGTTAGCTATAAAACGGTAAAGATTCTTGACATGCTTTCCTGATAGCCCATAATACTGTCCAAGGGAATTCAATAATCGAATTAATTCATAGTATTATGGTGAGAGAAATAAACCCCTGGAGTAGGGGAGTAGGGGCGCAAGGGCGAGGGAAGTAACATAATAGAACTTTGCTAAGGAAGCTGTAAATATTAGACTAGGAGGTGGCACATCGCAGGCCTAGCTCTTCTCATCACGTGGCCTCACCACGACACAAAGAAGATTTAAACTTAATCTCAGGAAGAATGTCCTAACAATGAGAGCTGTCAGAAAATGGAGTGGGCTGATACACGAGCTGATGAGCTCCCCAATACTGGAGGGGTTGAAGCAGAGCCTAGATCCCTCATTGGGGATATTGTAAGAGAGGAGTAGTCCCTCTCATCTGGTTTTCTGTATCCTAATGTCTCTCCCTGCTCTAAAGTTTTAGGTTCTAAATTCCCTCCCAGCTCTGATACTCTTTATTCTAAATCTCTTTCCCCTCTGACATTCTATGTTCTAAGGTCTCTCCCAGTTCTGACATTCTGTGTTTTCAGCCTGGGCTTCAGTCAATAACTTTTGTTCTCAGTTTATTTACAAGTAAATCCTGACAGGGCTTTTTGGAAGAGCAAAGTTCCCCCAAAACTCCCCAGAGCCAGAGCCTTCCTTACAAATGGCTTTCTGGACTAGGCAGAAACTCAGACCCCTTTAGAAACAGGCAGTACGTGGGCTCTACTGACTAAAATGATAGCCTCAGGTGAGGATGTCAGTGCAGAGTTAGAAGGTGGAGAACACTACATTCACTGCTGCTACCCTCTTTTCTAAAGGCTCCAGAGCTCAAGGTTAACTTTGAATAAGAGCCCAACTTTACTGCCCAATGTGAAATTAATGGTCATCGCTGAACTCACCTCGGCCAGCTCCACCTGCACCACGCCCCTTCTGCTGCTTCTGCTGCTGCACGCCACCTCGGCCCCTGCCCTTGGACACCACCTCTTCTTTTACCATGTCAATAATCTCATCAGGAATCCGCAAGTATTTAATGGTGCTGCCTCGGATGTAACACTCAGGCATTCGCCAGAACTTATCACCATCCTGGGGAGGAAATATCAATGTTTTCAGGCTGGAGGGCAGCAAGAGCCAGGGATCTCCCTGTCTGCCACAGAGCAGCTGCTCCCTCCCTCCATCCCTCCTTCCTCTGCAGGCTCAGGGAGGGTCTCTGATTTTATTTATTTATTTGGGGGGGGTGCTATTCACATCAAAAACAACATGCAGAAATCTAGGGAGCAGATCCCATGACCTATGAACTCTGAGTCCAAGCTGTTCTTTTCTCTTTTACCTCCTCAAAAGCCCTTTCCTTTCTACTTGGCCACCCCAAAGCCCTTCCAGGAGGCATTTCCCAAACACTGCAGCCCACAATCATCTCTTTTGTCAGGAGGGCTGGAGAGCACCTTGCCCAACCCTCTCATTTTACAGGTGGAGAAACTGAGGCCCAAAGAAGGTAAGGGCTATTTTTCTCATCTGCAAAATGAGAAGTCCAGACCCAATGATCTCCTAAGATTCTGCGACTCCATTACTCCCCTTCCAACCCAAAGTTCCTTCCCCTCCTTGGGAGGCGTTCCACCCAATCTAACACATCATCACGAAGCACTCTGTACTGTTCTCTCGTCATTTTACTTGTCTTGTTTCCTCCCCCTCCTCCCCCAAGTCTGAGAGCCCCTTGAAGGCAGCGATTACATCTAATCTTTCTTTTTTCTCCCTGCAGTACTTAGGACAGTGTTAGTCACATAACCGACAACCCAGTAAATACAAGATAAACGAAATTAAAAATGCCCAAGACCAAGCAGCAGTGTGAGGCCAGGAATCAGGGTTCTGACTCTAGTCCTGGTCCTGCATTCTGACCCTATCTAGCTTAGGGAGGGTTTTGGACATCACCCCTTCGGCGCCCAGAATCTGTGTTCTAAGGTTAAAAGTTTTGCCAACTCTGACATTATGAATTCTAATAACAGTTCTAAATTGCTCTAAGATTTGCTAGGCATTTCATATATATTATCTCATTTGATCCTCCCAACTATGAAACTGGCTCTAAAGGTATCATTATTCTCATTGGAGACTAAGAGGAGAAGCATCTTTGGGTCACGTGGCCGGCCACTAAGTATCAGAGCCAGGATTCAAACCATGGTCTCCTGTTACTCTCAGTAGAAAACTATTTCACTAGAGAGTTTATTTAAACTGGTCAAAGAATTTTAACCTCTGCTTTCTTCTGCCCTTTACAGAGGCAGCTGGGTGGCGCAGCAGATGGAGCTCTGGACTTGGAGTCAGGAAGACGTGACTTTAAATCCAGCTTCAGAGATTTAACTAGCTGTGGGACCCTGGAAAAATCACTTAACCTCTCTTAGCTTCAGTTTCCTCAACTGTAAAACTGAAAATAATAATAGCACCTACCTTAAAGAGCTGTTCTGACAATATTTGTAAAACGCTCTGCAAACCTTAAAACACTATATGAATGAATATTGTTACTATTACCACTACTACTATTACCTGCACTTTGCCCCTTTCCCTTTCTAATCTGAAATTCAATTAATCAGAAATGTATTCTGGACCTTCCATGTTGTCAGGGCCTCCCCAGCTCTGATATTCCATGTTCTGGGGCCCTTTCAGCTCTACATCTCCCAATTATTTGGCTACAGCTTGGACAAAGGAAAACGGCCCAGTTCAGCTGGAAGAGGTGTCAGCTCTAATCTGGCTTCAGTTACTAACTCACTGTACAGTGAGGGGAAAGTCATCTCCCTTCCTGGGCTTCCATTTCCCCATCTGTAAAGTGATGGGATTGGGACTAGATGATTTCTAAGCTTTAAAGTTCTGTTTGTTAAGTGTAGAAGATATTTCAATGAACTCCAAAACCAATCTAAGAGAGAATTTGAGCACTACAGATGAAACCTCTGGCATCTTCATGAACCTATGCTAGATGGATAGAAGTAATGCCTATTTTTGGCACTGCCATTAGGAGGGAGCTTCTCATTTTCTACAGAGACACAGGACGGGGAGAAATCTTGCTAAATTTAAGTCAACTTTCCCAAAAGAGTGTTTGGTTTTGGACCATCCTGGGTGGCATTTAGCTTAGCGTACAAGGAAGGTTGTCTTGTCTCTGTACTTCCTTCTTTCAGTTCTCTGCTAAGGAATAAACAAACTAATCTTCTCTTTGGTGCCAGCAAAGTGTGTTCGACTTCCAATGCTGTTCTTTGCACCATCTAGTGGCCATTGCTGGGCTTTGTTCAATAACTGTTACCCCTCCCTCATCTCCAGCTGGTATTTTCCAACTCCATTAAAAAACAAACAGCATTAGAACTGAGACGGACTTTGGAGATGACCCAGTCCAGGGTTTCTTAACCTGCAGCCTGTGAACTATAAAAATTTTTTTGATAACCGTACTTCACTATACTTGGTTTCCTCTGTAATCCTACATATTTTTATACATTTAAAAGCATTATTCTGAGCAGGGATCCACGAGCTTCCCCAGATTGCCAAAGGGGTACATGACACAAAAAGATATCAAACCCTGACCTTGGCCAAGAGCTTCCTTTTACAGATAAGGAAACTAGCAGCCCACAGCAGGGAAGCAATCTGCCTGAGGTCACACAGGGAGTCTAGCAGAGCTACTAGGATTTAGGTCTTTTGAGAGACTTTGGATTACAAAAATCAAAGTTAAAAAAAAAAACCAACTAAACTTAAACTACAACCAGCTGGTACCAGCATCTCAGTGTCAAAGTAGTTCACAGAAGGCAGGATCTGGAGTCATGAAGACCTGAGTTCAAATTCAGTCTCAGACACATCTTAGCCATGTGACCCTAGACAAGTCACTTCACCTCTGTCTGCCTCAGTTTGCTGTAAAATGGAGGCAATAACAGCTCCCACCTCAAAGGATTGTTGTGAGGATTAAATGAGATATGTGTAAAATGCTTAGCACAGTGCCTGGTATCAAAGAGGTATTATATAAATGCTTATTGCCTTCTTTCCCCTTCAATTCTACTATCCCATGATCCTTCCAAAGTTAAACTCCTCTTCATTGAAACTAACAAGTCAAAATGTCCCTTAGAGGCAGTCTTGATGAGTGAGGGCGAAAAAAATATTAATATCAGCAAGTCACAATATGGGGATGGTAGCAGGGAAGAAAGATGAAGGAAGATGGAATGTCCTTTAAAATCAACGGTCTCCTCTGTCTGTCGCAAAATGCACCCAGCTTTGAAGGTAGAAGCCCAGCGCTCACAGTGGTGCCCTGCCAACATCCGTCACTTTCCTAAGTCTCAGTTTCCTCCTTTGTAAAATCAAGATAGCAATCCACTATCAACCTCACAGGGGGGCTTAGGAAGACAGTGTTTTGAAAACCATAAAGCATTTTAGAAATCCTAGTTCTCATTATTAACAGCAGCAGCAGTAATAAGAGCAAGTGATGCTGTCCAGTGCCCCAGTATGTGTGCATACACAGGTGAACAAAATATATTTGCCAACTAAAGTTTCCTAGAAAAAAAGCCACTGTGAGGAAGGATAGGAACAGGCAGTTTTCAAAGGAAGAAGTCCAAGTGAAAAAATGCTCCAAATCACTATCAATTAGAGAAATGCAAACTAAAGCAACTCTGAGGTTCCAATTCACACCCATCAGACTGACAAAGATGGCAAAAAAAAAAGGAAAATGATAAATGTTGGAGGGGTTGCAAGAAAACAGGTACTGGACACTAATGCACTGTTGGCACAGCTGGGAACTGGTCCAACCATTCTGGAAAGCAATTTAGAACTATTCCCCCACAGTCACTAAACTGTGCCTACCCTTTGACCCAGTGACACCATAACTAGGCCTGCCCCAAAGAGACCAAAGAAAGAGGAAAAGGACCCAGAGGTTTAAACATATTATTTGTAGCAGCAAAGGACCAAGATGAAGGGAGTGCCCACCAACTGAGGGACAGCTCAACAAACTATAGTATATAAATGTAACAGAATACTATTGTGTTTTAAGAAATTACCAACAGCACCAACGATGAACCCTACTAGCAATTACTGACAGAGGTATTGGGATTCAAGATGCAGACTAAGACACACATTTTACAAGGCCAATGAGGAAATCGTGCATTTTTGCTTAAAAAAGTTTCATTTTTCTTTTCTTCTTGTTGGGGTAGGGTAGGATAGAAGGGAGAAAATAAATTTTTGTTAGTTGTGTTTTTGGGGTTAAAGAAAATATGGTCCAGTAGAAACAACACTGGCCTTGCAGACGGAGGACCTGGGCTTGAATTGCATCTTAGCATTCCAGTTCAAGAGCACAAGCTCCCTGAGAGCAAGGCCTGCTTTACTTCTGTCTTTGTATCCCACTTCCTAGCACAGTTCCTTGAACATTCAGGGTACTTACGAAATGACTGCTCCCTCTGTGACTCTCCCTTTCTGTGTCTGTTTCCAGATTTGTAAAATAAAGAGGTTGGCCCAGATGACCTCTAAGGTCCCTTCCTGATTAAAATCCAGTGAGTTCCTATGAAATCGGCTGGGGCACAGGCTACCAGACAACGTACTCTGCAAAGGCACACTTACCCTGGATGTACAGATGACCTCTCTCAAATTGATGTTCATCCAGTTATCACAGCTCACAAGGTGCCCATTGTAGGTTTCACCATTTTTTAGTTCTACCAACTAGAAAAACAATAAAATTCAATCCATACATTAGCTAATCTTACCAAGTATTTACTTTATGTCTATTATATGCTAAGAACATTATTTCTGCCTTCAAGAAATTAAATTGAGCAACTATATAGAAAAACTCTAAAATAGCACATAATTAAGCGTTAATGATTCTAAGTTCTGTTTCATAGGAGAGGAAGGGGGAGGAGTCAATGAGAATTGGAATACTCATGAAAGAGGCAGGCTTAAACCTGGGCCATTTTTTAAGAAAATGGCTCTAAACCCACATAAATCATCAGCATTCCTATATATAACCAACAAAACTCTGCAAGAAGAGATAATAAGAGATATCCCATTTAAAATCATTCTAATCAGTATAAAATACCTGGGAATACACCTGACAAAACAAACACAGGAAGTATATGAACAAAATTATAAAAAATTTTTATACAAATAAAATTAGATTTAAATAACTGGAGGAATATTCCATGGATAGGTAGGGTCAATATAATAAAAATGACAATTTTACCTAAACTAATTTATACATTCAATGCCATCCCAATTAAAATACCAAAAAACTATTTTAACCGAGTTAGAAAATACAACAAAATTTATTTGGAAGAACAAAAGGTCAAGAACATCAAATGAATGAATGAAAAAAATGTAAAAGGAGATTTAGCAGTACCAGATCTTAAACTATATTATAAGGCGGTAATTATCAAAACTATCTGGTACTGACTAAGGAATAAAAAGGTAGATCAGTGGAATAGACATACAACCTACAGCAGTAAATCTCTATAGTAACCTTGTGTTTGGCACGGGTAAAGACTTAAGTTTTGGGGATAAGAATTCATTATTTGGTAAAAATTGTTGGGAAAGCTGGAAAGCAGTCTGGCAGAAACTGAGGTTAGACCAAGATCTTACACCATTTACCAAGATAAGGTCAAGATGGACACATAACCTAGATATAAAGGGAAATGTCACAAGAAAATCTGAAGAACATGAAACATATTACTTATAAGACTTATGGATACACAAACAATTAATGAATAAATGAGATAGAGAGCATTGTGAGGTGTAAAATGGAGAATTTCAGTTACATTAAATTAAAAAGGATTTGTATAAGTAAAACCAATGTAGCCAAGATCAGAAGGAAAGCAGAAAATTGGGGGGAAAAAAAACTATATAGACAGTTTCTCAGATAAAGGTCTCATACATCAAATATATAAAAACTTTAAAAAATCCGTAAGAATATAAGTCATTCTCCAATTGAAAAATGGTCAAAAGATATGAACAGGTAATTTTCTGATGAAGAAATCAAAACAATTTAGAGTCACATGAAAAAATGCTCTAAATCATTGTTGATCAGAGAAATGCAAATTAAAACAACCTTGAGATAACATTTTACACCTATCAGATTGGCTAAAATGATAGAAGAGGAAAACGACAAATGTTGGAGGAGATGTGGAAAAATTGGAATACTAATTCACTACTGGTAGAACTGTGAACTGGCCAACCATTTTGGAGTAATTTAGAATTATGCCCAAAGAGTTATAAAACTGCCTATACCCTTTGACCCAGCAATACCACAATTAGGTCTGTTTCCCAAGATGTTTAAGGAAAACAACCCATATGTTCTAAAATATTTATAGCAGCTCTCTTTGTGGTGACAAAGAACTGGAAACTGTGAGCATGTCCATCAATTGGGGAATGGCCAACCAAGCTGTGATCGTGATGGAATACTACTATGCCACGAGGAATGATGAGCTCGATGATTTTAGAAAAACACAGAAAGACTTGCATGAAATAATGAACAGCAAAATGAGCAGAACCAAGAGAACGCTGTATACAGTAACAGCAATATGGTTTTAAGAACAACTTCCAGGGACCAAGTCATTTTGACTATAGAACAACCAAAGTAACTATGAAGGAAGATGCTATCTGCACCCAGAGGAAAAAATGATAAAAAGAAGTATGTGTAGTATGGATTTACATATATATGCATATTTGTGTCTAATGGTAGCCATTTTTAGGGTAGGGAGTGGTGGAGGGAGGGGGGAAAAAGAAAGTTACAGGATAACTTTATTATATATTTAAAAGTAAAAGCAAGTTGTACATAACAGATTTGCAGTTTCATGGACAATCCTCTTCTATTCTACTTTTGTTATGGAGATGCTTGTTTTATTTCTTAAGTTCAGAATAAAAATACAAAAAGATACAAAAAAAGAAAAAGGCTCAGATTTTAACATCAGGGGATGGGAAAAAGGATAGTTCACATAAGGGCACTCAATATTAATGAGGCACAGACGTGGCAATGCACATACCTAATTCCTGGGACAATGAAGAAACTGACCTAACTGGGTAGAAGGTATGATTTGGTTACCAGTTAAATAAGATCAGAAGGAGGAAGCATGAGGCTTCTTTCTGGAGGGACTTAGAAGCCAGATAGCTTTGTTTTAATTGTGTAGGAAACAAGGAAGCACTAAAGATTTTGGGACATATGGTTGGAAGATTAATTTGACATTGGTGCGCAGGAGAGATTGGAAAAGGGAGACACTGGAGGTAAGAAGGTTTGCTTGTATCATATCCAGGAGAGAAGCAACCAGGCATACTGGCAAGAACAGCCCATTTATAGTCTGAGGAACTAGGTTCAAATCCTGGCTTTGTATCTTAATACCTGTGTGATCTGAGCCAAGCCAATTCCACAAACATTTGTTATTCTATATATGTGCTAGGAGAGGGGAAGGCATAGAACTGGATATGAAGGTGATGTCAAAACAAAAGATCTCAAGATTTACACTTTTAGGAAAAGAAAACATGGATATTTTGCTAGATTAAGAATAAAAACAGAAAGATTTCCCACATGTAGGGTTTAAGTTCCCCTTACTCTTCATATTTGCCTCCTGGTGTCTGAGATTCAAGGTTATCAAGTGGCCGCCACATTGCCTACTCACCATGGGGTGATTCTGGGCTGTCTTCAATAAGGATAAGGGCAGCTAAGAAAGCAAACAAAAGACAATTGAGAATTCCATCAGATAAAGCACAAGCCTGTCTTTCTTCCAATAGAAATCATAGTTCCTAAAAGGTTAGAGGCTTGGACCCTTAAAGGTCACCAAGTTCTTTCCCTCCATTTTCCAGGTGACACAAGGTTTTTAAATTAGATAGTGGAGATACAGGCAGTGATCCTGGATTCAAACAATGAGTTTTCACCTGGACACCAATCTGCCCACTTTCACAATGCTACACACTTGTATTTGTATCTGTATGACACAGAAGCCAATACCAATAAAGCTCCCTTATTGCTGTAGTTCAGGAGGCTAGGAATTTAAATGTGCTTTGCTTTCCTTTCCTCAGACACCACAAAGCTGAGAACCTTCTTCCTCTTCCTAAAAGTCCCAGGATACCTGCCCAAAGCAGCCAATCCCTACATGGACCTTGCCATCAAGGGAGTGTTACCTTTTCCCACATTCAAGATTTTACACCTCTTTGCACTATGGATTTTATTTTTCACCCAAGTTACTGAGTAGTGTAAACAGCATTGAAATAGGAGCCATCAGTCTGGGCCTGGCAGCTTTTTTAATGTGTGGCTCTGGGCAACCAGCTTCACTTTCTTCCTCTGTAAGATTAGAAGGCTGGAGATGATCTCTAAGAGCCTTTTCAGTTCTGACAATCTCTGGTCCAAAGCTATCCTTGGGGATGTCTGAGAAGGAAGTCCATGGACTTTCTAATTTTAGTATGTTACTAGAACAAGCATCTGAGGGTTTTCTGAAGAAAAGGAAAAAGAGTTCTGGGGAACCCCCTCCAAAGGATCATCCATTGATGAGCGTGGGCCACTGTTCAACAGGAAAATGGGCCAAAGTCCACTTCCCCAGTTGGTTTCCTGTATGAGTTCTAGGAAGGCCAAGTGTACATGTTTGCTGCTATATAACTCAAGGGAAGCCCAGCACAGGAAGAACAGAGAAATAAGGGGAGATAGAACTTACAGAAGTTCAAACGGGAGGGAGTAAAGAAGCCCTACTCTTTTTTTTTTAAATCAAAGAATTGCTTGATAATGCAAGTTCCTGAACCCTACCTTCCTTCCCCAACCCAGGGTGGAAGGAGGAAGAGACTGGGCTGGGTGAGAGAGGGAAGTAAAACTGTTGGGGAGAGATGAAAGACAGGGAAAGAGAAGAGATAAAAATAGTGGTGGTAAGAAGACATGAAGTAGTAGTGGGAAGGGAGAGAAAAGGGAGAAGTTGGAGAGGAGAATAAGGGGAATGGGAAATGAAGGAAGAAATAATGAGTAGAAATGAAAAAGGAATGGAGGCAGGATGAGGAGGATGAAAAAGAAAATGAAGGTATGAAAATGAGAGTTAAGACGACAGGGGAAGCAGGAGGGCTAAGAAGAACAGTTGAAGAGAAAGAAAGATTATAGGATCTAAGGAATATCAGAGGCAATCTAACCTAACCCATCATTTTACAGAAAAAGAAACTGGGGCTCAGATGGTTAAGTGACTTGCCCAGGTCACATAAGTAGTTCATGAGGGGATGAGGAAAATGGGGCAAGGGGAACAATGAAGAGAAATGACGAGATTATGAGTAGGGGTAAGATTTAGACAAATAAGGGGTCGGGGGAGATGAGGATGTGAGATGAAGATGAGAAAGGGAAAAGAGAATGAAGAGGAGAGAAAGAGATAGCATGGGGGGGTGGACTGGGGAGATGGGGATGAATAGAATGAGGAGGTATGAGAGAGAATGAGGGAAAACAGATAAGGGGAGGATGAAGGGGAAGAGGAGGAGAATGAAAGGAGGGATGAGGGAAGATGAAGAAGAAAGAAGAGGGGGATCAGTCAGTCCAGAAACATTTACCAAGTGTCCACTATGTGCCAGGCACTGTACCAAGTGCTGGGGATAGAAAAAAAGGCAAAAGCCCACACCCTCAAGGATCTCACAAAGTAATGGGGGAGATGATGAATAAATATGTACAAAAATACTATATACAAGATAAATAGGAAATAATTAACAGAAAGAAGGCACTAAAATTAAGAGGAATTGGGAAAGACATCCTGCAGAAGATGGGATTAAAAAAAAATAAAGAAGATGGGATTTTAGTTGGGACTTAAAGGAAGTCATCAGAGATGAAGAGGGAGAGACATCGAGAGAAAATGCTGGGACCTAAAAGATGGAGTGTCTTGTGCTAAGGACAGTAAGGATGCCAGTGTCATCGGAATGAAGAATACACAGCAGGGAGTAAGGTATAAGGAGGCAGGAAAGACAAAAGGAGGCTAGGTGATTAAAGGCTTTGAATGCCAGGCAGAGAATTTTGGAGATGATAGGAAGCCACTGGAGTTTACTGAGTACGGGGATAAAGAGGAATGAGAAGGATGAGGAAATGGGATATGGGGGAAAATGAGTAGAGGAAGATTAGGAGGAGAGAGATGAAGGAAAGGATGAAACAGCAGATGAAGAGGGGGATGAGAAGGAATGGGAGAAAGAGGGAGATGAGGAAAAGGGAATGAGGAGAACGGGGTGAGGAGAAGGGATATGAGGAGGGGAAAGAGAATGGAGAGGAAAAAGAGGGGGATGAGGACAGATGAAAGGAATAAGAAGACACATGAGAAAGGGGATGAAGAGAAGAATGAAGGAATGAGGAGGGGATGGAGATGAGTTGGGGTAGGAGGAGGAAGAGGAGGGCGAGTAAAAAGAGGAAAAGGGATATGAGGAGAGAGATGGAGGGATGAGGAGGGGATGGAGAGGAGGGGGATGAGAAGGGGATGATGGAGAGGATGAGTCGAGGGAGGAGTAAGAAGAAGAGGACGAAAAGGAGGCTAAGGAGTCTCGCCGAGCCCCGGCCCACGTGAGATCCCCTCCACCCCCCACCCCCTGTCTCGGGGCTCACAGAGGACCAGCGCCCTCCCGGCCCTCCCCGTGCCAGCGCCGGGGACCGAGTCTCAGAGTGGTCCCCACCGCCCCGTGCCGACCCCCTCAGTCTCCCCTCACCATGGTGCCGGCCGCGCCGGGGCGGGGACAGAGCCGGGACTGCTCCCGCCACTTCCGCCGCCGCCGCCGCCGTAGCTCAAGGGACTCAGAATTCCCTCCAGGCCGCCCCTCACGGAACAAGGCGGGCTGACGTCGCCGCCAGCCAATCACTACCAGACCTCGCGGCACATTGACCAATCCCGAACGGCAGAGGAGGCGGGGAAAAGAGGCCGAGGGCGCCGAGAGGTGGAAAGTGACCTCGCGACCCGGGCGCGCAACTGCCGTAAAGCAGTCCTCTGTCGGGTGCCGAAAAGAAGCGCGTGGCCCGCAGCATTGTGGGTAACGGCCACTGCCAGTGCGCGCCGTAGTTTCCCGAGAGGAAGCTGGGAGGCGAGGATTGTTTGTCAGGCGCCCTCGGTGTCTAGGACTTGTGACATGGGCTGAGGGCCTAGGCTGCCGAGCCCGTCTTAGGAGGGCCGTGGAGTAGTCGGAGCCGAGAGAGGAGAAGACAGACCCTCCACCCCACATTCTCTGAGGGGGCAGCTCAGCCTGCTCTTTGACCTCAACATCCCGTCTTAACAGGGGCAGCAGGGAGAGGAAGAGCTCCGGGTCAGCAGCCTGGCTTCCAGCCTTGACTCTCCACCCTCAAGTCACTTACCCAATCAGAACCTCAGTTTCCCCATCTGTAGCATGGAATCCATAAGCCTCCCACCCCGACCCTCAGGGTTTTTGTGAGGGAAGTGCTCGGTAAAAGCCTTAGAGACACTCTAGAAGTGGGATCTGCAGGTTCCAAATGAGCCCCAGACCCTAGGCCGAGTGGAGAGAGGGATAGTGTGTACCAAGCAAGGCAGGTGACGATCCTGGAGACCCCAGGAGGAGCTGGAAGAACTGGAGATGGTTTTAGCCTGGAGAAGAGAAGATTTGGCAGGGCTGAGGGGACGGCTGTCTTCTAGCATTTCAGGAGGTGTCACTCAAATTAGACTTGTTCTGTTCGTCCCCTGGGGGCAGAACTAGAAGCAGTGGGTGGAAGTGGCAGAGGCTCTGATTGCAGCTCAGCATGAAGGAATTCCCAGTAATCATAGCAGTCTTTACAGCCTGGAAGGCTGGGAGATGCATGTCACTGGAAGCCTTCATTCAGAGATGCTGGAGAGGGAATTCCTGCTTCGGGTAGGGGTTGAACTAGATAGAGAGATGTTCTCTGAGCACCTTTCCAGGTCTGAGAGTCTAGGATTTCTGGAGTTATTTTTAAAAACTACTTTTTAAAAAAAAAAAATTTAAGGCAATTGGGGTTAAGTGACTTGCCCAAGGTCAAACAGCTAGTAAGTGTCAAGTGTCTGGTCTGAGGCCGGGTTTGAACTCAGGTCCTCCTGACTGCTTTTGAGTGAGGTTCAAACCAGAAGATTTTGTGAAGTGCTTTGCAAACCCATAAAACACTAGTAATTGTCAGGTTGTTTTTGTTTGTTTTTTTTTTTTAACTGGTATCCCACCTTTTTCTGTGTAGAGTGCTGTGTTGGACGCTGGGGGAGAGGCTTGTTTTTGAAGTTAGAAGGGTTGTTATGGATCCCTTTTCAGATGAGGAAACTGAGAATTTGTACACCATTCACAAACAAGCAACATATGCCCTCTAGGGTCCAGTTTTTTAAAAGATTTTGAATTTCCTTAATGGTTTGGTATATAATATAGGTACACTTTTCCTCCAAAAAGTTCAAGGAATAAAGTAAACATAATTCTTAGAGATTCGCCAACTTTGCTTTCATCTCATGTTCTCTCAAGGAAAAACTGATTGTCTTTTTTCCAAAGGAAAACTCTGTTCATTCTGTTCCCTTTGCCTAATATATCTGTCTCCATCTATATCTGTTGAAATCCTACATCATTTAAGGTCCAGCTCAGATGCCACCTCCGTGCATCTTCCATGATACTTGCTTTTGATCGTGCCCCGTTAGATTTGGCATTACATTTGGCTTGCATCTCATGCATCTTACGTATCATGTTATATCGTGGTTATTTGCACATATGTTAGACTAGATTATGAACATCAGGAGGCAGGACCATGTCTTATTAGTGGGTGCTTGATGTTTGTTGAAGTGGAAGCCTTTTAACATGTGCAAAAATTCCATCCCTTCATTGTTCAGATGAGGAACAGAGAGGCCAAGTGACTTGCTGGCAATGAAAACATGGTCCCTAGGTCTAACACTAATGTTCGGAAGCGGAAAGACCACTTAATTTAGAATCAGTACCTAAGTTTTGATCCCAGCTCTGCTTCCTAATAGCTGTGGAGCAAATCAGAGTTTCTTTGTGTGTGTGTGTGTGTGTGTGCTTTATTTTCTTTATCTGTAAAATGAGCAAGTGTGACTAGATAATTTCCTTTTCAATGCTCAGTGCTTTGTCTAGTGTCCAAATAACTGTAACTGTGTGATAAATGCATGAGAAAAGTGCATAATTCTATGTAATAGCTGAGGGGGAAAATTTAACTACTGAAGAGATTATGGATGACTTGATAGAAGATGCAGCTTTTGGATTGAGCTTTAAAGATGGGTTGGAATTGTGAGGAGGAATGGGGAAGAGGATACTTCAGATATGGGGAACAGAATAACATGAGCACACAGAAAAATGCTGAGCAAATGATGTGGGGTCCAGGGAGGAGTAGATCAGGAGTACTTCAGTTTGGCAGAAACACAAGATAGTATGAGCTAGGGCTGAAAAGGCAGGGTGCCACCAAATTGTGAAGGCCCTCAAAACAATTTGGACTTTAATTGTACCATAAACCTAGGACAAGAAGGTCCAGAGTCCACTTGCAAGATAGTCCTCGTGGGGAAAATGTATTATTAGAACTCCCCAGTATTCTAAGAATGACTCCTCACTTCCATGCATACAGTTCACAATATTGCAGAGAAAAAATATTAAAGAAAACAACATACACCTTTAAGTGAGCAACCATTAAGGTCCACGATGTATATTAAACCCCCAGAATCATTTACCCATAGAACCACTGTAGCCTATAGCCCACCCCAAGTTCTGCACTCATCTGCTCTTCTGATGGTTGAGAGGAGAACTGAAGGGAGGTCCTGTACGTGAATTTTCTCCGGCAGGATGAGGACAATTTGGTTCTATGGCTTTTCAGTGCCATCTCCCCTATACAAGATGACAAAACTGCTAACATCCTTTCCCTCAGAGGCTACTATTGCCCTTTCTACAACTGTTTTTTCTACCCAGGTCCATCAGTTAGCAACACTAAACAGTTATTGAGTCATTCAAGTAATGGAAAGAAAGGGGTAAAGACATCAGTATCCACTATGGGTGATATTAAAGGATTTTGAGCACAGGAGTGACCATATGTGGAAGATTAATCTGATATTAGGAAAGGATGGATTGGACTGAGAGCTTTTTTTTAATTTAGAAGATCAGGCAAAAGCAAAACAAGACAAAACAGTAAAACAACCAAAGAAAACAAGGTGTTCTAAAGATTAGATTTTAATACTGGCATACAGAAATAGAATTTCCTAGTGACCCTATGCTATCTCTCTTACTGTGCTTTCATCACCTAGTCCCAGTGTCTCCCTTTCTTTCCCCAACTTCTCTCGGGCCCCATTTTCTTCCTCTATTTGTGGGACCTCAGTCTTCAGGTGCCTTGGTTGTCTTACCTTTTCTCTATGTTAGGGATAAAGTTCCCCACAAAAGGTACTCTACAGTTAACTATTTCTGAAACTGCCCTACAGAGAATTTGTACACCATTCACACACAAGCAACATATGCCCTCTAGCGTCCAGTTTTTTAAAAGCTTTTGAATTTCCTTAATGGTTTGATATTTAATATAGGTACACTTTTCCTCCAAAAAGTTCAAGGAATAGAGTAAACATAATTCTTAGGGATTCACCAACTTTACTTTCATCTCACGTTCTCTCAAGGAAAAACTGATTGTCTTTTTTCCAAAGGAAAACTCTATTCATTCTGTTCCCTTTGCCTAATATATCTGTCTCCATCTATATCTGTTGAAATCCTACATCGTTTAAAGTCCAGCTCAGATGCCACCTCCATGCTTTTGATCGTGCCCCGTTAGATTTAGCATTACATTTGGCTTGCATCTCATGCATCTTACGTATCATGTTATATCGTGGTTATTTGCACATATGTTAGACTAGATTATGAACATCAGGAGGCAGGACCATGTCTTATTAGTGGGTGCTTGATGTTTGTTGAAGTGGAAACCTTTTAACGTGTATGCAAAAATTCCATCCCTTCATTGTTTGGATGGAGAAAAATGGCAAATTAATTCACTGAACAAAATACTGTGTGCAAGGCTAAGTAATCTCTATTTAAATATGAACAAGATCCAGTCTCTGTCTTCAGGGAGTTTACAATCTACTTGAGAATATATCATTTATATACTTAAAGATAGAACTAACAAAATATAAAACAGTGCCAATCTGCCAATATGTTGATTTTCTTCAAGACTCAGCTTTCAAGAACCCTTTTCTACATGAAGCCTTTCCAGGTCCCCACAACTGCTAGAGCGCTCTTCCCCAAATCACTTTGTATATATTTTGTGTATGCTATATATACAAGTTGTCTTACCTATCTGAGTGTAAATTTGTTGAGGGCTGGAATGATTTCACTTTTGTCTGTGCCATGCCTGGCACATACTAAGGGCTTAATGAATGGCTGTTAATTGCTGCAAATAATAGTGTTATAGGAGTTCATAGGAGGAAGAAATCTATCTGGAATAGCTCAATAACAATATCCTACATTTATATAGCAGATATTATTTGTTTATTCTTTCATTTGACTTTTATCCTTTTCCCAATCCTCCTTCTCTTTGGCCTTTCTGCTACTTTGGACACTGCCCCCACCTGATCCTAAGTTATCTGACTGTTCCTTCTTATTCTGCTTTACTGGATCATCATCCACCTTTCATCTCCTATGCATGCGTGTCCCACAAGGTTTTGTCTTGAGTTCCTTCTCTTCACGTTCTCTATTCTATATTATATATTATTCCCGTTACCTCCTATGGATTCAGTTATCTCTATGCAGATGATCCTGGATCTACATATACAACCCTAATGTCTGTCCTTAACTCTGTTCC